ACTGTCTATGTCATTGATGAAGATATTAAACAGTACCGGTCCCAATATGGACCCCTGTGGGACAGCACTCGTCACCAGTCTCCATCTGGACATTGAGCCCTTGACCACTACCCTCTGGATGCTGTCTCTTTTCTGTCCAGCTGTTACAGTGCTTCTCAACTGTAGTAATAGTTGACCTATTTAATCACTGTGTCCAGCCATAAACAAAATTTCTTACAATTTAAAATCTGATCATGCTGCAAAATATGCTCCACCTTTTGAATCCCTGTTGGTTCCAGTATAGTTCTTCAGCTTAAATGGAGAATGCTTTGGCCCCTGACTTGGCAAGGAGGAAGGGGACTCCACTCTCTTGCTCCTCAGATTAAATTCCCAGTCTCCTTTACTTTCATTCCTAGAGACCGGAGGTTTTGGTAGTGGGCTGGAAAAGGGACTAAGGGCTAGTTTGAGTTAAGTGTTTGGATTGTCGAGTATTCCACATTAGCAGTCGGTATCAAGATTTGAACTCTGCAATTCCAAAGGTAGCTGATGAAACCGAGAAGAAAACCTGCTCTCTTTAAACAATACATAAATTTCATTCACAACATCAAAAGCAATTTATTTAGCATTTAACAGAATTCTTTAGGAATTTCTACAAGAAATTACATTTTGTCCGCTCAAAGTTAGTAAAATATTGCACATATCTCACATTACTTACGGACGCTCAAAATACACGAGAGCCACAAAGGATCATATAGTAAAAACCTAATCAATGTTTTTAACATATACAGCAGTCCACAAATGCCTGTGGCTTTGAGACCCCCTAACAATCTGCTCTGTTTAAATAAGCAGAAGTCCTCGGCCTCTGCTGCCCTAGGAGAAAATAAAATAAACACTATGCAAGTACATGAGATCATGGAGTCCCCGAGAAAACTGAGCATCAATAATTGTGGTGATGGTCCAGAGATTACATACTGCAAGATATTTTAATTATTTATTTCAATGGCTAAAAAGCATCTCAAATCATGAAATGAACAAAGAGGCAGTTTGACAACAAACCGCCAAAACCTGAGCATCTGCAAAACAAACGTTCTGCAGTGTTCATTGCCCACAATCTAGAAGAGGGAAAAAAAATAAGGTTGCTCTGGGAATTAGGAAAAGGATTGTAAAGACAAAATTTGCATTAACTGAGTATTGCATAAAAGTTATCAGAAAACTTTTCAGCAAAAGTGACTAATGAATAAGAGCCAGAAAGAAAGGAGGAACTATATGAGTACAACTTTATCCTTTTTTTCACCTACTGATTAAAAATAGAGACATTTAGGTATATAAACACAACTGATCGAGTACTTCTGCTGCTGTATCCATTTTAAGCAAATTCCAGCGGACTGACTTGCAATGTCTTCACTTTCAGTCGGTCTCCAAAGCCAAATTACATATATGGTTACCAAATACTCCAGCTACTGCCAGGGCACTTTCAGGAACAGCACAACACCCGTCACAGGAGCAACTGCTGGGAAAATGGGTCGCTCTTCATCATGAGCCCGGTACTTTCCAGAAATGGGAAGTTGGCTTTTATTTTAAAAACCATGTTACATGTTCCCATTCTTCCCTTTCCCTATACTAAAGATGCTATATCAATTCAACTGAAGTATTTTAATATATTCCACACTAGAAAGTATGTAGGAAAAAAAAATATATTTTAATGTTTCCTGATTTATTAGGAAGAAATAAATCACACCAGGGATGAAAATCAAAAAGCACTACCACTGAAGAAGCAAAGTTCATTCTCATGCATGAACTTTCATTCTCATTTTTCCAGGGAAAGAATGTGTGAAAGGACCATTTAGTAAATTAAAAGGAAATATTTATAAATACATCTGCTGAAACAGCAACATTTCCTAGTCCGTTGGCCAAAACAATCAAAAGTTTAGCACAGCATACCAAAACATGGAAGAGAAGCAGAGGAAACAAATGGTAATAGGAACTAGAAGATAGAGGGGCTTTGATACAATAAAACCAGAAAAAAGCTACATTCTGTAAGGAGGTTACAAATATATCCCATAAACTGTGTAATTTGAGGATAGCTCTCTACCAAATGACAACCCTGTAGTTCAAGAACAAACTATACTTCAACACATTATCTTCTATAAGTTATCTTTATTTTACACTGAACTCTGTACTGCTTGAAATATTTTAATAGACTAATATAATTAAAACAGCTTTCACCACAGCTCTTCTCTGTTGAGTCTCTTCTGAAATAAATCATTTTCCAAAAAAAAGCACATGGTTAGAGCTGACCGATGGAGCAGAGTAAGTGTGGCAGTAACTCTCAGTAAGTCCTGAGAAGGCCCCAAAATAGGTTTTAAAACTATCACTTGCTTTGAGCTGTTTAAAAGTCTTTGTATTTTACTTTGATCCACAGCACTTACTAGCCAAACATTAGTTTGGTATGTGTGATGTGTGCCAAAAACTCTCGTCTTAGAAAGTTTTTTTATCTTTGTCAATATTTTTAAAGTTGATTCATTCCTAACATGTGAGGTAACTCCTACTAGAATAGAAACTGAGTTGGATGCTCTATCAGCACTCAAAAGGTTAAACAAACTAAATATTGGATTCATTTCAGCTCCCCTGTGTTAACACTGCCATTGTAAACTTATTGCGATATACATTTAGCTGTTCTAAGAATTAATGACTGACTCAGAGAAAATGTGTTCAGCTGGTAAGCAGAAAAACTGTTCTGAAATAATCTATTCTTATAAAACATCCTAGGGATTACTCTGATTTTAAAGGGACACCTGTAAATGAAGCAAAGGCAAACTGTGAAAGCAGCGGTGGCTGCTCACTTACCTTGCCATTTAGATTTTTCCGCTGAGCATGCTGCTGTGCCCCCAAAGCACACACACGCATACAGCCTCACAGAGCTCACAGGGGGATGCTGCTTTTCAAAACAGAGGAAGGTAAGACATGTCTGGTCCTAAGCGGGGACTGCAATAGAAGCACTTACACAGTGCTATGGAGACTTGTCGTTAGCAATCTGCTCTGCCAGAGGTCATGTTTCCTTCCTGCTCACAGCTACAGAACTGCCTTCCCATGACGCTGGCTCCACCTTTACCTTGAAAGGGACACGGTTGATGCCTGCTGCCTGATCCAGGCCTCATCTCCCAGCAGAGAGGAGCGTGACTGCACACATCTGGAGGGCCTGCGCTCCTGGAAACATTGCCAGGAATTTTCTAAATTGTTTTTTGGTTTGTCTTTTCTGAAGACCCAATTGTAAGCTGTCCAGCAGATCTTCCCAAGTAGTGTAGACTCACGTGCAAAAATATCAGCACTGATCCTGAGTGTGCTGAGTTTAAAAGTTCTGGTAAGGTATTACCCTATTGGTAAACAGACATTTCCCAGCCTCTTTATCTACCATAAAACTACACTGTATAACGTACCTCATAATTCAACACACACCAAGTCTGAAGAAACAATTTGTATTTCAAATTATTTTGCTAAATTCACTCATACCACACAGATTTAAAATTATGTTTTCTGCCAGCTAGATCTGAAGTCACTGAAGTTGGTCAGTGAAGGAAATAGTCAATCTAACAGCTAGTGGTTTAGTCTGCTGAAAGTACATTGCCAATGCAAATTATTAAGCATTATAAGTTTTTTTAGATTCTTATTGTAAGAAATGTGTACATTTCTGCAGAAAACATGAAAATCTGCAGATTTCCACGTGCTGTGAGTACCACCAACTCAAAGGTGTAAAGTTCAGTCTTGTTTGAAAATGAGCAACAGCCAAAGCTTCATTGAACATTTGCCTCAAACTGGCAAACAACTCTTACTGGAGTAAACTGTCCTTCTTCCATAGTTTATGGAAAGTAGAGGCAGAGGGTTTGCTTGAGCTGTGAAAGCCTTTGACAGCAATCCGTAACTCAAGTGAATTTGATTTCTCACAGGAGAACGTTGCCATGTTACTCATATCCCCTTCTTGGCATCAAAGATTTCTCACCTTGACCCCACAGGCATACACCTGGAACTCTTCAAACCTGTTTCTTATGAAGGAAAGCAGGCAACACAGGTTGATCGGTTCTGCTTGTAGTTCTAGCAATATTTGTACAAGCTACTTCATTCTGGAAGTTCTTGAGCTGCTTTAAGATAACTTTCTCTTGCCATGCTACAAACAGTGCCATTCAGAAAGGGAAGACTCTTACAAAGAAGGCTAATGCAGTAGAGAATGAGTTCTGGTCAAGAACTACAAGACTTTTGTCTTTACAAAACTGTTGTGAATCTTTAACACCTACAAAGAAAACGCAATAAAAGCCTGGTTTGCAAGGATCTTATCCAAATAGGACCCACACTGTGAATTGTAGGCAACTCAAGTCATCTACCAATTGAAAACAAAGGCCAGAGTCAACCCTCTGATCCTTAACAGTAACCTCTGTGGACAGTATTCTGCAGAGATCCACTTCTACTTCTTAAAGAACTAGAACAAAAACTAACACAGATGTCTCTGACTGAGGATATTTCTGTTGATGTGCAGTTTGACTAATTACTACCTTAGCAACAAGGCCCATGTAGAAAGTTCCCACCCTGCCAATACAATTAATTGTTCATCTACATTCTAACTTAATCTGTCATGACAGAGGCTACAAATGTTCTGTTTTACAAGAATATTTTTAATCCAGACCAATTCTGTGACCCCATTCATACGAGCCCTACTGACAAATAGGGAGGGTTTTGAGATGGAAAACCAACAGCCCGGAAGCCTCTCACTCTCCAAATAAGTGTTTCCTAAAATTTGGAGGCCATTTCAAGAAGCAAAGTTTGCCCTCTCCATTTCTAAATCCTCACGGCAATCCATCATACCACTCAAAGAGGTGAAAACAATGGAAGAGCAAATGCTCCTACTAAGCCACCACAACAGACTTTGCCCGGAAGACAAACTTTTGTCATGGAACAGTGTCAGGAAAGTTAACGTTTTACCTGCTTTAAGTCTCCTGGCAGAACTCAAAAGAACAGCTCAGCTCTGCTCCACAGCAATGAAAAAAAGTCACTGTCAAGAGTCTCTTACTGCTGTACACTTCCACTAGCTACCAAAGCTTCAGAATTTAACTAATCAGAATAGTTAAGGAGAACTTTTATGGCCCCTGACTGAAATCACTGCAACACTTCAGCAAAAGAACAAATGTTGGGGGGGGGAAACATGGGGTTTTAACAATTTAGATCAGTATGACATTTAATAATCTGGCCAATTAAGGTATACAGGGGGAAGCACTCCTTTTCTCCCAAAAGCCACCAGGGTGTAAATCCAAAAATCACTCAACATAGCATTAAAAAAAAAAAGAGTAGGTACTACTTCTTCCAGGACATCCAAGATTATTTCACAAAATTGTTCTATTTTACCCCTTATATTTACCAGCTATTTGGAAAGACACGCCAAAACATTCCAAGACACGAGGCTGAGTTTTTTCTTCAAAACCTGTGTAGTCCGTTTTGCACAGCAACATTAACAATGAAAAAAGAATTCAACTGATACAGTTTAACTTGCAGTATGCTCAGGATAGAGGGGATACAAGAAGGTATATTCCAAATCCCAAGACAGGCAGGTTTTCCACTTTTTTTTTTACCACTTTTGTTGAAGATTTTATTTTCTATTGTGTGCCTACCTGCTTGAGCAGGTTCACACCTTGCACCCTTCAACAGTCAGGTTTCACCGTCTCAGCTTTGTCAATTACGAAATCAGGAAGCAAACCTGAAATGAGAAGAAAATGCACTGAAGCGTCTTTGTATGTACATTGATGTACTTACTGCCACCAATGATCAACAGCAGCCTAGCTTACTTAAGCTATCATCCAGTGCTGTACCCAAAATGTTCATCATGCCTTAAGTATTTCAACAGAGCGCGTATGCTGCAAAAGTTCATCGCCCACTCCGCCATGAATTCTTTCATGTACTTCTATGAAGAACGTAGTTTCTAGAACAGTTATTCAAGCTTTCAAAATTTTAAGTCTACTTATTCCTTCCTTCCTCCACCTCCCCTGCCCGCCATCCCGTCTCCTGTTACATACATACTAATTGCTGTCATTACATCGGTACAGCCGTACTGAAGTAATTTCTCTCAGCTCATTTGTATGGTCTTACTGGATTCAGGACTAAGTATTTTCCCATATTGTTAAAGAGAATCCACAAGCCAAGAGAAACAATTGTTTTCCTGACAAATTCATCCATCAGCATATCGCCGTCTTCAAAGGGTGCCACCAGTCCACTGTGAGCTGTTTTGACAGGTCTACAATTACATTTCAGTATCCTTCCATGCACCGCTAGAGGGGTGTAAGTTTTAAAAAAGAAAACAACAGTAAACACAACCTCATAAATTACTCCATATTATTAAACCCCTGATCTAACAGCAAGAATGTCATTTACTCTGTGTTCAACCATAAAATAAACTTGTTTAAAGCTATTAATTTATTCTGTTTACTTCATTGAAAAAAAGGTTTCAAGGCTACTTGAAGATTATACTTTCTCTGAAATGGCAATTAAGTCCTATTCTCACCCAAAAGGGAAGGCTGTATTGCAAGGTTTAGTGTTTTCTAAATCATGCTTACCAATCTTTGAAAAAAGCCAAATACAGAACACCACACCAGACTTTTTTTATTTTTACTGTTGTCATGTCCGTCCGTCTAAACGTCCGTGAAAGAGAGAAATCTTGCCTTTTGCCTTACAAAACCTTTGACATTCAGCCTTTCACAGTGGCTACCAGAAAAAAATTGCCATAACCATTTACAGAACACCACCAGACTTTTTTTATTTTTACTGTTGTCATGTCCGTCCGTCTAAACGTCCGTGAAAGAGAGAAATCTTGCCTTTTGCCTTACAAAACCTTTGACATTCAGCCTTTCACAGTGGCTACCAGAAAAAAATTGCCATAACCATTTTTTCTTGCTTTGTGATAAAACACTTGGGTTTGTTTGCTTTTTCGCCTATTGCTCAAACACCAACATTACCACAAACTTTTGGTACAATCCACTGCACGCAGGTGTCATCCAGATAAAAAGCTGGCTGAATTATCTTTTGTAGAAGAATACTGTTTTAATATTTAGAGCACTACTACAAAAAAAATGAACCAAGACAACACACAACAAACAAGAACAGCTAACCTTTCTTCCAGATATGGAAAGGAAAGTAGGAAACGTGCTCAACGCTCTCTGCTGAAGCAGAAATCATAGTCCAGGAGTTTCTTATTCCAGAACACTGTAAAGAACATTCCTATATGCCAAGACATGGGTCAAACGAAGAACGTTTCTAGTTTTCACAATGCCTTTTTCCAGGAATTTGTTTCCTATTTCCAACTGGCCTGTATTACTTTATGACTGTTTCTTTCCATCTTCCACTCCTTTTTTTGAAGTCTTTCAAGCAGTACTCATCATTATTTCAGACCTTTCACAGATGTTAAAGCAGAACAGAACCACCACGGCCCTGTACAGAAAAGCCATCTAACAAAATGTTACAGCTGAAATCACTCCATCTCAAGCATGTCATTGAGGATTGCTAGACCATGTAGCACCACAATTTGTCAGCTTAGAGAGAAAAACACAGCAGATATGTCCCTACTAAAAGAAGCAGTTTATTTGTCTTCATATCTATCTATAATAGACTGAGCATAAACACTAAGAACATTTGGAAACAAGTGAAATGGCTTATGTACATACCTTAGAAGTGTGCACAGCGCTGCAAAACTTGATACAGTAGTTTCAGTTTATGACACAGTGTTTACAAAACATTAACTTGCAAATATTAAATATTTTGTAAAAGCATTTGTAGAAAGCTCTATATAACTGTGGTAGGAAAACAAAAATTTACTTGTTCCTTTCTGGCCAGCATTTAATGAAACTGTTATGGTTTATTTTGCTGTAAGACCCAAAGCAAACAAGATAGCACCTCATTAGAGAAAACATTCTTGCCTGGGCATCTTGTCACCCATTTGGTGTTTGCTAGCACAAACATTCAGTTTGGGAGAAACAGCTGAACTGCTACTTTATTTGCTCACAACAGCCTTCATTATCAGGGAACAAAAAAAAAGTAATTCTCCTTCAGCCAGCTCTACAATTCATAATCCTGAGCTCTAAAACCCAAACAAGATTAGTTAATTCTACAAAAAAACCCTTAAAAAAAGTCTTACAAAGTGTACTCTGTATAATAAGGCAACAGCAATCACTACAAAAATACACTTATAAAAAAAGTCACAGAACTACATAGTAAAAAATCATTTTCATTTCCCACAGAACAAGCTTTTTGACATAAGATACCTGAAAGGCTTACATCAATTTAAACTGTGACAGCCTTTGTCCTAGCCAAGAAACTGCCTCTTTACAACTTGAAACCCCAGACGATAAAAATTATTTATTGCTGATTGACCCTATATCCCAATTCGTACTCTACAAAGATATCAAAGATACTGGAAAATGCTGACATGAACAGAAATGTCAGCACTGTGTTCTTTTTGAAAGCACTGAAAATAAGAAATTAGCTATTTATAAACTTAAACGATAGTAACCACCTAAATCCAGGCCTAACAGAGGCAGAAAATCTGATCAAGCAATTAAAAATCCAGTCCTATACATCATCTTGTAATTCACAACCCTGTAAAAATCACCACTTCTGTGCATTTTAATTCACCTGCCTCCCAGAGAAGCAGAGGAGGTAAGTGGAATCTGTAGATACGTCAGAAGACTTGGGTAAGAATACCGCTGTTAAGAACTGCCAAGTATCAGTTAAGATACAATGACAAATAAAATAGGAAACAAAAAGTGTCAAATAAAACACAACAGTAACTAACAACTGTCAGCATCTTTTAAAATTAATTTCAGCATGATCTTGTTTCAATTTAACTATCTACCTACAGAATAAGAGTTGCCCTGCGTCCAATACCAAATTGCTACTTGAACACAGAATAACACCGATCTGAACACGTTGGTTAAATAAGATAAACATGAACTACAGGACCAATGTAAAAACACATGTAGAACTGTAATTAATTTGGCCCTTAGTACTTCCTCTTGCACTCAGGCTCAATACACTTAGCAAAAGCAGCCTGACACCAGTGTCAAATCAGAGCAATCTTTGTTCACTAGGCACGTAGCTGGCAGAGAATAGAAGAGCTATTCTTTTTTTTTCCTGCAGCAAGTGCCCCAGAAGGATATTTTTCATACTGCGCATTAATTCCCTGGAAGGATCTGCAGTCCAAGCAGCACTTCGCACTTGCACCTGTTGAGGCTGCCGCGGGGATCACAGCACGCTGGCAGCTCATGCAGAGGGACACAGCCAGAGAATACCCCGAAACCCGCCTCCCATCAACCCAACCATGGTTAGCACAAGGACACGTGACACCTGCTCTTCCCTTGCAGCTCCCAGACTTAGTTTTATCAGAGAGCAAATCAAAATAATGACCATAGCAGTTTGACTATCACAAATTCCTAGATTAGATTAAAAGTTGAAAATAATATTCCTAAATCAGTTAAGTTTGACAACCACCAATATACTGAACTAAAGCTCCTGTTCTAAAAGAGCAGTCCAGAAGCATGACAGATTAACCTTGCCATGCATGACAGCTATGTAAAATCTATTTCCCAGCAAGCTTTGTACTGCAGCTGCACGAGAACTTGCTGCGAACTTACTCGAAGTGGAAAAAAAGTTGCAGCTATCTACATGTCAGAGCACACTGGACGTGCCAGCAGTAACGTACAGAATACAGAAGGCACACACTGGCGTTGCTAGCTCAGAAATCAAAGTCTAATAATCTCACTTTCTACTTGACTCTTCCTTTTCAAGCTAAGGTTTGGTCTTGCACCAACAATTAAGTATGCTCTTGACATCAACAGAACACTTAAGGGGAAGAAAAAAGAGCCACCTGCATAGCTCCCAGTGCCAGCCTGGTAGACTGCAAATTAATGTGCTATTTCTAATCATCCAGTTCAAATTTCATTAGGGTAACAAAAAGCAGAACAATTCCTCTTTCTAGATCAAGTATCCAGTGTATGTTTTCAGGAGATTAATGACACAAGTTAAACTAAAGCCTATAACTGCACCTACCAACCTCCTCAACAAAAATTTTCCTGGACAACACTACTAACAACAAAACCAACAAAAAACCAAACCAAAACAGCATGTTCTACTTTAATATGTGCCAAACACGCTTTGGGGAAAAAAAGAGTTCAGATTATTCTGCCATGGCAAGAGAAGCACTAGTTTGTCAATAGCAGTTCCAATTTCTCTCTAGTCTATATACTTTCCAAATAAGATTTTCCTTCAAGCATGTTTGGGTTTTCACACAATTAAACTAATCCCTAAAGAAGTTTAATATTGGGCTCCAGCCCTGGTTTCAGATAATTAGAAGCAGGTTCTATAGAACGGTTGGAAGACTATCTACAGGTTCTTCCAAAAAGGACTGATTCTGCAGACTGCAGTGCTGAACAATCCCTTTCCAAATAATTTGACTGGCTATAAACACCAATTGGTGATTTTAATTCTGACACTAGTTACTTGGCTAAAAACTATTTATATATCTTTGAGCTTAAAAATTCTTATGTTGTTATTCAGACAGTTTAGTGATAGGGAGCTCAAAGAAAACAAATCCAAGAAAAAGCTCATTAGAAATCTGGATGTTTTTGTTACAAAAGTCAGACAGCTGGATTTTCTGTTAAACACGGAAGAAAAACATCCATAATAAAAAAATAAAGGGGAAAACCTATTTCATCAGCTTTTTGCTTCCAAACCTACACAACCTGTGAACAGACAAGCAGAAAAATCAGATCTTTCTCACAACTAATGGCTTCCTCACAGTGCAGCCTTACTATTTTGAGCAGTTTTTGGATGTGAACTGAACCCTTGTCAAAACTGTTGGGGGTCTGTGAATCCTTGTGCCTGTAGTTTCAGAACCCCCAAGAGAAGCAAGAAATGATCCAATTACATAAGAAAACCGTTCACAAATCAGTTAACCAAAAGAATTCAAACTTGTGCATAATTGAAGTTATTGTGCTACTCCCCACGTAGCACTTCACTCCAGTGAAGTTTTCAACCCTCTCAGGTCATTGCAGTCTGGAAACCAGCAGACTCTGCACACCCGTATTTCCTTCATTAGAGTGACCACAATGCACTTACAAAAATGTGGAAGTTATGCTTCCAAAGAAACAGTAAATGTAAAAAAACAATTGAATCTGGGGCTCTTTGGAATATCTTCTGAAATACACAGTACAGTTACAGCCAAAGCTGAATCTGTCCTAAAGGATTACTATTCTTCACACAATTAACCTATGAAAATACAAGCTCCAGCAACTTCCATTATAAGCTGCAAAAAGCAAAACCATTCACATATTTATTCTCAAGCCAGCACTTGATTTATCTCTACCTTAACTTGAATCTCGTTACCTCAGGGGAAAACAAAGAAAAGGATTTCTATGACTTGGTATAATATTAAAAATTCTTTAAAAAAGAAAAACAACCATAGAGTTACTGTAAGCACAAGCCATCAGAACAGGCTATCCCTACACTCTGCTAGGCTACGAAACAGAGGTAAATGCTTGTCCGCAGAAATCTTGTATGTATGGAATAAGCTTATTTGAACAGATAGTTTTCAGTGCTGTATTTACATACCTTGTATAAGTCTCCCATCAATTATGTTTCCGAATATGGCTTTATTAGAAGCGATTGAACTCTCACCTAAGTAAAAAAGGGAAAATCAAATTTAAACCAATCAAGATACTGGCAAATCCTCACATTTTACAAGCATAGGAAAGGATTCTGATTTTAGCCATTCATCCCAGCACCATTCCCCAGTAAAAAAAGGCTGCCAAAATTACTTAACCTAATCAGATAGTGCATACACAGATCCTTAACTCGGGAAACCAATCTCATCCACAGCCCTATAGGCACAATTAACTGTAATAATTTACACAGATACACGGGGCCTGAAATAATCAGGTACACAACCCCCACAAGATATCATGTGTACAGCCCTCTGTTAAGGCACAAGTTAACATCATGAATACTCAACCTAATTCCCTTGAGAACAGAATTTCAGCTTAACACCCCCCACACCATCACCTTTTGTGCTCTCAGAGCAGAGAAACCTATGGGGTTACTTGCCAAGCCTTCCTTTCTTCCCTTCACTCAACCAAAGGTAAAAGTGAAATGCAGGCAGCAGTGGGGAGGACGTGCGCTGGCTAGCTGTGCAAGCTACAGCACCCCTCGCATTACAGCAGGGGTTTTTTTGGGTTTTGTACAGCTACCTTACACTGTAAATCATGACAGGCTAAAAATGGCCAGATGACACATTTGGAGACAAAATTATGAGCAGTCCATTCGCTCCTTTATCAAAAGAGTAGTAGCTATGAGCAGGGCTTTGCAAAGAGGCCTCATTCTGGTACAAGTACAACAGGGGAGAAACGTACAAATCCTAACAAATTTTCATATGTGATAGGAAAAAAGGGCACTGACAGAAAACTCCTCCTCGGGTAGGAAACGACCACCACCCCCCCGCCAAGGAGCCAGCGCTCCCGCAGTGAGGCTGGGTGTCATCTCTGTGTGCCTTTTTTTTATGGACACGACAGCTTCCGGTTACCATGGAGTGAAACAGCGCAAACACAATTCTCAGCTGGCATGAAATGTAATCCCATGATTTTACTATTCATAGCTCTGACATGATAAAGCTAAATTAAGCAAGAACTCTTAACTTTCTCAAACCTAATATCAGTGACTACCTCCATCATTTAGCCTCTGCTAATGCTCTACTTCACTGTGAAGAGGGGAAGGATATTTTCCTTTATGGCAAGGGAGACTCCAGACCTACAAACCCAGCCTGTCATCCAGAAACAAAATGGCACCTACTTGTTCCCAGGCACCACTTTGGCGTGACTCCAGCAGGAACAGAGGAGACAAGATGAGCTGTTGTTCTAAATCTAACACCTTCTCCTCATCTTGGGACCCATTACAGAAACCCACAAAGCAGTTTTAAGCCGCGCTCCCCAGCTTGCCCAGCAGTGAGTGTTTGCTGAACAACAGTCTACCAGT